TGTTTTTGTTGTCTGAGACTAGTTCTTCCTATGCAGCCCAGACTGGTCTGGAGTTTAGTGTTAGTTCAGGCTGACTTCAAACCAGTGATCCTTCTGCCTCATCCTCCAAGTGTGTACCACCATACCCAGCCCAATAGGAAGGGATTATGACACATGCCTCACCATGGAGGAACCAGGAAGGTATTATGCTAGGAGTAAGAACTATTTGTCATAGAAGGATAGCTACTGTATAAGTCCACTTCTGTATGGTCTTTGGAATAGGCAGTTTTATGTAGACAGGAAGTAGGGAGAGAGGGTGAAGATCTGTCTAACGAATGTAGAGTGTTTAATAACCATTTGACTTTGGAAGCTGCTTATATGAAAGTATCAACATACTTGTTTTGTTTTGTTTTTGAGATAGGGTCTCACTGTCTAGCCCTGGATGGCCTAGAACTCACTATATAGACCAGACTAGCCTCAAACTCACAGAGATCTGCCTGCTTTTAACTTCTCAGTGTTCAGATTAAAGATGGGTGCCACCACACCTAGCTCGGATGAATATACTTAAAAATAAACTGTTGGGTGTTTTTGTTTTGTTTTGTTTTGTTTGAGACAGAGTCTCACTGTACAGCTCTGAATGTCCTGGAACTCGCTTTGTAGAAAGGGCTAGCCTCACTCATAGAGCTCCTCCAGCCTCTACCCGCCAAGTGCTGACATTAAAGACATACATCACTATGCCTGAGCATGACTAGACTTTCTAATGAGCCCATCCTGGGCATCCCTATCTCTGCTTTATGAGGCTGTAATTACAGAAGGCAAAATACCTTGTTTCCTGTTTCTTAAGGAAATTACTGGTGTTGCTAAATGTCTTAAATTCTTAACTTAGCTGGCTGCTTGTAGTTCGATTTTAGTAACTTAGTGATCTGTCTTCTAGGGAGGAAGAGGGTGAAGAGGAGGAATTTGGAGACTTTCAGCTTGTTTCAAAGGAAAATGAATTTGGTAGTGATGAGGTGAGTGTGGCAGGAACACAGCCAAGCTCCACACGCTGCTTCCCTCGGGTTCCTGCTCTTACATCATCGGTGTTTGAGAATTCTGAGTTGAGCGTCTTACCAGAAGCAATGTCCTATGATGAGGCATGGGGACAGGACTTCACAAATCCTCTTGTTGCTTTTTGGTTTTGTCTCATGGTACTGGAGCTCAAACCCAGGACCACGTGCCTGTAATCTCACCACTTGGGATTATATGACAAGACCCTGTCTACAAAATAAATAAATTTAAAAAAACAGGAGAAAGAGCACACAAGCTTTTATTATATGCTCAAAGCACGACAGCATTTCCTTCCTGTGGTCCATGTTTTTATTGTGTGTGACTCTGCGTGTGTTGTTCTAACTGTGCAGGATGAACACAGTGACTCCGGTGACGAAGAGCTGGCCCTGGACCAGGAGGAGGATGAAGAAGAGCTCCTAAAGCAGTCTGAGAAGATGAAAAGGCAAATGTAGGTGTTCTGTCCGTCCCTCCTCCTCCTAGACAGTTCTCCTAGGTTGTGGTATAGCTTGCTACCATTTTACATAAACTTGCTGGTTTGGTTTCTGCTTTTTGTGGTTACCGTAAGTTAAACAAATGCTTTGTGGATTCTAGGTGAATGAGACGACCTGGCGGGTAACAGTGCTTCCTGTGCAACCCTGTCTAGTTCAGTCTC